ATAACAAATAATATTCAGTTTAGTTTATCTTTTGGCAAAATCAACTGATTTGGTTGGATTCGGATTTTTGTCTATTGAAACTTGAGTGAATTCTTATTTTATTTATTTTTATAAGTTTCTCCAAGCTGTTTCTCCCTACTAAGTTTAGTTTTTTTGTAAGTCACCAATAAAAAAATCTATTAAAATTAACTAAATATCTTTGATAATAATTTAAATTTAAAATCAAGTATTTAAAAATAATATATCAATTTTTAATAGTTAAAGATTATTAGCAAATATGTATATGCATTGATTATGAAAAAAATATCTCAAAAAAAGAAGAAGACTAGAATCAAATCTAATCCAAGTCAAACCAAATCACTCAAAAATTGAACCCAAGTAATTAAAAGAAAAAACATAATAAATCTCAAATTTTGGTGAACTGATTTATCTGGCTTGGTTTGATTTTTTTCTCAAAATCGAACTAAATCCACATCCTTAAATAAGAGGCTAAATGTAATTATTTCATTTTTTACAAACAAATTAAAAAAATATAGGAACAGTGAAATTGGGGCCGGGGGCAAGGATTCATTACTGTCTAGAATCCAAAATGTAATTTTTATATAACTTTCAATTATATTCTTATTTTATTATACTCTACCAAGTATCTTACGTACGAGATATTCTTCCCCTGTAATCTTGATGTCAACTTCTCGAGAGTGGACCCCGCTTCGAGAAAATTGGTGTTTTACTTTTTCATTCCCGTTCGTTGTTCTGGGCGGTGTCTTAAATGTTTTTTTTTTGGTTTGGTCAGTTAACAAAATATAAACAAAATAATTAAATTTCATATTATTTACGTTTTAAATTTTAATATTTACTAGTACATGTCATATTTCTATATCTGCAACGATTAAAGGTAATTATTCTTTTACGTAAAATGTGCATACAATTATCCCCAAAAAAATTGTCATAAATAAACAATCATTAATTTTTACTTTGAATAGTTTGTGAACTTAGTGAAGTTTATGTATCCACTTGAATTATTTGTGCTTTGCCATGGAAAAGAAAAAGCTACCTGTTTAACTCGTAATTAGCACGATGACTAGCATAATCATTTGGAAAAATGCTGCAACCATTCAAAGCAAAAAACTCAAGTTTTTCGTTTGAACCATTTCCTTCTGTTTTACTTTTGTTGATCGAATTCTATTTATTTTAACTTTGGTTGTAATTTGGAAGAAGACGAATGAAGAAAGAAAGAAGGAAACACAAAAGATAGTTACACTCAGGATTCGGCAAGCAGGGTATGACGATGAATGGAACCGTGGACCCAGCATCGGTCACCAAACACACCCTCTGGGTCATCTCAACTCTCACGAGTCGATAATTTACTTTAATTACTTTGGTTTTGTTTTTTTTTAATCACTAGGTATCTTTTATTTTTTTTTACCGTCAATTATAAGATATATTCCATTTGTTAGATTTAATATATATTACTAAAAATTTTACATTTTAGTGCAGGATATTCGTATGGATTTAATTGAAATGATCGATTAAAGACACCATTAAGTATTCACACAAAAATTCCAAACAACAGTAAAAATTGAATAAGATAGTGACGACGAAAGCTAGCAGATATATTTTTCGCTATTGCTATCATTATTTTTATCATTATTATTGTTGGTGATAAAAATGCAGAGAGATTGAATTTTTACGTCAATTGCATGGCTTATATTCATTATATTGTGTTTGAGAACGGGGAAGAGCACGTGTTGACTGTATTTGGCTTTGGTTTCAACAAATAACAATTTGTAATGGCTTGTTTGGTAGCATGGAATTGAAGGGAGAGAAATAGAAGTGAAAGTGAAACCCATTATTTTAGATGTTCGGTATGCAGATCTCAGTTCCAGAAGGAACCCAGCTCGACCAAGATCGATGGAACTCGGCTCCATCACGCCCCAGTTCCATCTTTGCCCTCTCCATGTTAAAATATTATTTATAAATTAGCATTAATTAATAAGTTCAATAAATTGGTCCTTATGATCTTGTGTGGACCGTGATAGGTGGACCACACAAGTGAGCCCAATGGGCAGAGGTCCAACCCACAACCCAGTAGCCGTCAGTTATTTCCTATCTCTTAACTGACTGAGTCAGAGATAATAAATAATATAATTATTTAATTATTTAATAAGGCGGTTACCGATTTGATCTATATAAGACGATTAGTCGGTAACCACAAACACACAACTCATTTTCTTCTACTTCCATTATCTCTGAACTCTCTGAAGGCTCTGGAGATCTGTGGGTTGTGTACCTGCCTATACTCGAGGTAATCGAGATTTCTCTAGCACTCATGAATTTTTCAGGTACGCATATATTATTTTATTTCTTTATATGAATTGAGATATACAGATTTAACACTCCAATCTTCTCTCGTCTTTCCTTGATGGCTCCAATCGGAGTCGGCGACAGAGACACGTCAAAGGTTGAAGCTAGTGGTGAAGTGAGCAAGATGGGTGATGATTGTCGCAGTTGCATCAGATCTGCGCGATAAGCGAGAACATGAGTGATGATTGCCGCCAATGCATCTCCGAAAATCGAAGTCTGCGGCAAGGCGATCGAGAAGGTGGGTGATGATTGCCACCGTTGCATCTCCAGATCCATGCGATGATTGAGACGATTTTTGCCATCTCCGCATCTCCATTCTTTGTCTCTTCGACTTGAATGCTCTTTGATTCTTTTTTTTTTTATTTGAATCTCCAAATTTGCTTTTGATGATTGTTGGCTGAGTTTGTTTTGGATATATATATATATATATATTTTACAAATACTGGTTTGACTTGTAATGGTTGTAGCTGAAGGGGTTAAGGGGTTTGGGATTTTTCCAAGCAAAGGCATTCATGTCTTTCACATTAAAAAATGGATATTTTATTTAAAATTTATATCTCATTTTTATCGATACACCAAACGTATTTTTAAACTTAATTTTACTTTCATTTTCACTTCCTTTAAAAACTCTTTTACCATGTCAAACAGAGAATAAATACTCATCCAATCTAGAGATGAGTTAAAATAGTGATAATGCGAAAAAGCTTTCCTCTCTTTTGTTGTTATATCAGGATTATTATAAGTCTCATTTAGTATTGTGATGGACCAAGTTTAGAATATTGGGCGTTTAAATTCAAAAATACTAATCACTCGAGCTTTCCCTTAAACTTTACTTAGCTTACATAGACACAAAGGTTGAAAAATGTTTTAATTATATCAACATCCATTAAGGAATGGAGGAAAAATAACCTGGGAAGATATCTGATTGTGAATGAATACCATCTATTTTTGTCATCTTCCTATGCCCCCATAAAACTTTTTCTTAGAAATTAAAAAAAAATCACTTGTACTGTACTTATTAAACAAATAATATTAAAAAATATCGTTAAATAATAGCAATAATAGTATATTTTTTTAAAAAAATGATTTTTGTCATGCACGCACATTTATTGAACAGCGCTATTGTGATGGACCATATAGTGCCCGTTTGGTTTGCGTCAAGAATCGATTTTTTGGGGTTTAATCGATTTTCAAAACAAAATTTGCCAAACAGTAGAAAAATGCAATAATCGATTAGGGAGGTTAAACGCGCGTTAATTCTTAATCTACCAAAACCAGCTTCAGCTTTAAGCTTTTTACCGTTATTCACGTGCTCTTTATCTGTGCCCTTCACGTGATTGAGTTCTCTTCTTTCTAATCCTCATTTGTCTTCTATCAGGCGCAGCTTTCTTTCTGTGATCTCCTCTTTCGTTCAGCTCACCAATCGGTCCTCACGGTGGTGTCGCCGCTCTGTCATCGTCCAGCCATCCCCAACTTAGTCACCGTCCACCATCTCCCGTCGTGCCGTCTCTGCCGTCGTCCACCCACCTCCAACAGGTGTGCCGTCTCACAGTCGGTACTCACAGAGGCAAGGATCTTTCGACTATCTTCCAACTCTGTGCAGATCTGTGGTCCTCGTGGCGTCACCTCCTCCGTCCACCGTCTCTGAGTTGCTTCCAGTGGTGGTGATCTCCTGCTATGGTCGAGGAAGGCAGTAAGCTTTATCTATACTCTGTTTCCTCGATCTGCTCATGGTCCTCCGTCTGTCGCTGATCTGCTCGTGGTCCTCCGTCCGTCGCTGATCTGCTCGTGGTCCTCCGTCCGTCGCTGATCTGCTCGTGGTCCTCCGTCCGTCGCTGATCTGCTCGTGGTCCTCTTCAGTCGGTCTAACTCAGAGGTAAGTGATCTTCTCTTTCTGGACGATCTTGTTCAGGTTTGATCTTGGTCAAATTTTGTTTTCCTCTCCACTCTGATCTATGCATGGATGGATTTGTTCTCGGGATTGCTGGCTTAGTTTTGTGTGGCTTGAACCATTTATAACTCTTGAACATTTGCAAATAATAAGATGGGTGAAAGTTGATTTTTTATGCTATTTCTGTGTTAGTTTTGTGCCTAGTTGAACTCTGTGCTGAACATGGGAGATCTGTTAAAAGTTAATTTTGTAGCTATTGAAACTTGATTTTAGTCAAAATCTATGCATTTGCAAATTGTGGGAAAGCTGGTGAAAGTTAATTTTGTGCCAAGTCGAACTCTTTGCTGGTTTTGGTTTGTGATCACTGATTACTGGAGCTTTATTCTCAAACATTATGTTTTGCATATATAGGGGTCATTTAGTCAAATTTTTTGCTGTGTGAGTCTCTGTTGAATTTGGCTCCTCTGAAAATTGCCAAATTTTTATCATGTAATATTTTAATTATAATTTCTATAATTAATATGTTAGTTTTTTACATAGTATAATGAGTAACAATAAGTCAAAAGCTTCATGGGATCGAAGAAATACTAGAATCTTTATTGACATTTGTTTGGAACAAGCTCGAAAATCGCAAAGAAATGGTGGTAGTTTTACCAAAGCAGGATGGCTCAGCATAATTTCTACCTTCAATGAGAAGACTGGACAGAAATATGACAGACAATAATTCAAGAATAAGTGGGATAATATGAGAAAAGAGTGGGTACTATGGGATAAGTTAGTTTCAAGTGAGACAGGATTGAGTTGGGATTATGCAAACAATACTGTGGATGCTTCAGACGATTGGTGGGAGAAGAAGATATTGGTATGATGTTATTATATGAGGCTTTATATTTATTTTATTTATTTGTGTATTATGTAATATTATTGATAATTTATGTGCAGGAAAATCCTTTATATGAGAAATTCAGACATAAAGGATTACCATTTGCCAATGAATTAACCGAGTTGTTCCAAGGTACTATCGCTAATGGACCTAGAGCATGGGCACCTTCAAGTGGAGTTTTGCCTAACATTTACAATAGGAATGAAGGTGAGGATGAAGAGGTGTATCGGCCTGATATGGCAAATGAGGGTATTAATTTGGAGGAAGGTTCAGGAGATAGTGATGAGATCTTAGGAACTACTGGAGTAAGCAGTGAATTTAATAGAGTAGTTCTAAATGCTTCTCAAGGAACCTTAAGTGGAAGCAGTGGTAAGAGGAAGAGGGGCGAAAGCAGTAACGGTAGAAAGAAGAACAAGTTACCTAGTACAAGTCAAATAGCAGATGCAATGAGTGTGATAGCTCAGACAACAAAGGAAGAATCTCAACAGGCCAAGGAAACATCAATTCCTAAAGTCATGTCTATAGTCAAACAATGGGAAGAAGTTGCAACTGATAAACATTGGGTTTCATGATGCATGTCACTCTTCATGTCCCGAGAGGCTAGGGTGATGTTTTTGACGATGAAGGATGATAAAGAAAGCGTTTTGGAGTGGTTGAGATATGAATGTTACAAAAATGGTTGATTATTGGAGTTTTAAAACTTATTATGAGTATATGATCTTACTTAAAAAGTAATCTAACATGTTTGTATTATATTGTAGAATTTAACTTATGTAGCCTCTTGAACTACTTATGTACTTTTTATATATGGTAATTGAGTATTACAATGTTGTGGAAAAGTCATTGGTATTTCTATAGATGACTTATTTAGATGTGTCTATAATTGAAATTAAGTGCACGTATTATTTATGTGTTTGGCTACAGATAGCAAGACATATGGAAGAGTCATCTAAAAAAAGGCTAAATAGAGCCCAAAAAGTTAGTGCTCTCATTGGGTTGTATGCAACAAGACATTTGTGCAAAGAGCCACGAAGAAATAGTGAATATACAGGTCATTTGTGAGTGAATGAAATTTTAGAAGGACACCCAGTTCGTTGCTATGAAATGTTTAGAATGGAACCACATGTGTTCCATCAATTATGTAGTGAATTGACACGATATGGATTGAAGGATACTAGGCAAATGAGAGTACAGGAGATGGTTGCAATTTTTTTAAATACAATTGGATATGGGTTGGGAAATAGGATGGCACAAGAAAGATTTCAACATTCAGGAGAGACTATTCATAGACATTTTCATAAAGTTTTAATGGCTTCCTCGAAACTTGCAATGGAATATATTAAACCACAAGACAAGTCCTTTCGTCATGTATCAAACAAAATAGAAAATGATAAGCGATATTGGCCATTCTTTAAAAATGCCATTGGAGCAATTGATGGCACACATATTCCATGTGTAGTCCCTGCTAGTGAAAAATCAAAATATATTGGAAGAAAAGGAATCCCTACGCAAAATGTAATGGCTGTGTGTGATTGGGACATGTGCTTTACTTTTGTCTTGGCTGGATGGGAGGGCACTGCACATGATGCTCGCATTTTTCAACATGCCCTGACAGCTCGATCCATGAACTTTCCACACCCGCCTTCAGGTATTTTTATTTGTTCAATTTATTTGTGTTAGACTTTCCACCTTACAGGCATTGATAGTAATTTTTTTTACAAGGTAAATATTATTTGGTGGATGCTGGTTATCCAACACCAAATGGATATCTTGGTCCGTATAGACGAGAACGCTACCATCTTCCTGATTTTAGAAGATCAACTGGATTTGCAAATAATAACGAGGTCTTTAATTATTTTCATTCAAGTTTACGGTGCACAATAGAAAGAACATTTGGAGTTTGGAAAAAGAGGTTTGCAATTTTACGCAACATGCCTAGCTATGACTACGATATACAAGTTCAAATCGTTGTTGCATCAATGGCGATACATAATTTTATTAGAAGACACTCTAACTCTGACGCTGATTTTATGCATCATGAGATGGAAGATCAGGAAGATTATGAGGACCAAGAAGACCATGGCGTTGATGGATATTCATCCATGACATCTTCTTCATCAGCTATGACTAGTATTCGTGATATTATTAGGGACCAACTTGTATATTATCATCTTCATTAGTTGTTGTAAAATTACTGTTTTATATTTAAGAATTTAATTTTCTTGTCTTTTATTGAATTTATTTTAAGCAAGATATATTTAGTTATTTATTTACATAAATTTAAATGTTAATATTAATATAATTTAAATTTTTAATTAATTATATATGTAGTTTAAATAATATATTTTGCTTTTTAAATAAAATGTAACAACTTTAATACTATTACATACAAATCTATCATTAATTTAAATTTAAAAAACAATGTCCTTTATGGTAATTTAAACAGCTAAAATTGATTCTAAAAAAATTATCCAAACATCTTCAGTTCTGTTAAAATCAATTTTAGAAAAACAGCATCCAAACATATTGCGTTCTAACATAATCAATTATGATTAAAATCTACCACTTAATCAATTATTTTCATAATCTATTATGCCCAACTGAAATCCAAACGGAGCCATATAAAATATAGGCGACTCATAGGGCTAAAATTAATAAATGACCAAAAACTCTTGGGACAATCACACTCCAGTCTCTAAAATAGTTAAAAAAAAAAATCACTTTAGACTCAATGCATTTTGATATTATATTGCAAATTTAAGGGCATTTGTTGTAATTTTTTTTTTAAGAGTAAAAGTACAATTTTGTTTTTACGTGATTTGAAAATTTAAATTATGTATAATATGACATCCATACGTGTTTAGTTGATCTGTAAATTAAAATATACATCATACAAAACATGCACACTGTGATATTAATGCATGTCCAGTTGATTTATAAGTTAATCAAAATAAAATCACATAAAATATGTACAATATAATGTTTATGAATACACAATATGATATATATGAATGCACAATATGATGTTCATGAAATTTTTAACATAATGTCCATGTGTGTTCACGCATGAATACTGTATTGAGAAAATATAAATATCATATTATGAATTCATAAACGTTGTGTTGTATATTATCTACGTTACTTATATATCTTATTAAACTTACAGATCAATTAGACATATATGAACATTATTTCATACATTGATGGACACTATGTTATGTATGATTTGATTTTTTAAATCATATAAAGGTAAAATTATACTTTTACTCTCAAGAAAAATTGCAACAAAGGCTTTGGGCCTACTATACAATAACATAATATATTGAGCTTGCAGTGTAATTTTTTGTTCTCTTGAAGCTTACAGTGCGATTCTCCCAAAACTCTTTAATCTTCACTGACACACTTATCAGCGAGGACAGGCATCAGCCATCTCTCATTCTCCGCTTATTAGGTACTGTACCATCTCGTTCTCTCAACCTCGGCCAAAACCCTGTCTTCTTCTCGCTATCCCGTGTTCTCATTCTTCATTTCTAGTGCAATTCTTGTTCAACAAAACCTCACCCTCTTCACATTAATTCTAAAGCCACCTTATAGATAATTCAGGTACCAAGGAGGAAGCATTGAGTACTTTTGACTTTTGCAGCTTGTAAATTCATCTGGGTTTTGGATTATTTCTGAGAGATTTCAATGGCAGGTCTGGTTTTTCCCGGGATTATTTCACGCAGCTGTTATAGAGTCCTCAGAGTTCACTAGGGCAGAAACAAAACCGCCGAATAATTCAAAAAAGAGAACCAAAAAGTTGGAATCAGAAACTATCGCTACCGCTAGGGCCTATAATTTGAGTATAAACCCTCAATTTCAGTATCTTCTATGGATGAGAAGGCATAAAGGTATGGGAATGAAGAGTGCTGGAGGAGGAGAGATTGTCCAGGTTCAAGGAGGTCACATTGTTCGATCCACCGGTCGGAAAGATCGTCACAGTAAGGTTTATACTTCCAAAGGTCCTCGAGATCGGAGGGTTCGTTTATCGGCCCACACAGCGATTCAATTCTACGATGTTCAGGACCGCCTCGGCTACGACCGGCCTAGCAAAGCCGTCGATTGGCTCATCAAGAAGGCCAAATACGCCATTGATAAGCTCGCTGAGCTTCCTCCGTGGCAGCCTGCGGCCGCTAATACGACGGAGGAAACTCACAAAGCGGAAGACCCTGAGAATTCTGAAGCTCCTTCCGGGTTTCTCCCGACGGCGATTGATTCCGACGCAATAGCTTTCTTCCCCACCAGTTCTGCAGCTTCCTCCATCAATTTCCAGAGCTACCCGTCGGAGATGATCTCCAGAACAACGAATTCCGGGCAAGATCTTGGCCTGTCTCTTCATTCGTTCAATCAAACGGCTTCGAACGACGAAAACCTGTTCGGTGGTTCGAACCCGGCCGAATTCGAGTCGAATTTTCAGAGGATTTTCGAGCCTAATTTGTTGATGGGCCAAGGTTCGATGTTTCCTCAAAGGGGGACCCTTCAGTCCAGTTTTTCGCCGCTGGTTCGCGCATGGAGCGGCGTACCCGTGGCTTCTTCGGAGCAGCATCATCAAAATCACAAGTCGCAACCTTCCATCTTCGGCGGCCGCTTTCACTCCGACGGGCTGCCGGAATTCTGCATTCCGACGAGAATTCAAGACCAGCAACAAGAACCGTCATCCACTTCTCCTAATTCTCACCACCACTGACCAAAAACTATCCTGCGTGCTTCTACACTCATCAGGTAATCTAACCCCATGAATTACCATTTTTTCTGTACTAATTAGTACTTGCTAGATTATGCTGTATAATTAATATGCACATGCGGCAGGTCAATCACTTAATTGGTCTAGAGCGTGCTTTCAATATCAACATGAAGTATGAGATCTACAGTAGATTATAAATTTTAGTGAGCGTGATATCTCACACTCTGAGCAAACAAATTCCTTGGAAACGCGTCTGAATTACAATTATTTAATAAAAAATAAACAAAAAAATGATCGTGAAGATAACAACTAAATCTCATGCAGGATACTATTTTCTTCAATTTTTCCAACAAGTAATAGTGGGCACTGTTAGAGATTTGAGCGAAGGTAAAAGAACAGGGATTTTCTGTTGTGAAGTTTGTCATATTAATTAATCATGTCATGCAGGAGGAGCATTTTGAAGCAGATATGCAACTTGTAAAGTTGGATTGGATTCACGTCGTCATCTTATTTTGATTTGGTATTATTGTTCATGCGTATTGCAGGCATTATAGTTGATGCCGTTTAATATGAAGTGGGTCTCTTTGAATTTATATACACTATATGACACTTTGTTTAATTACTTGATGGGTTTGAGATGAATTCGAACATCCTAGTTCTAACTCAAGCAATACATTAAGAATAAGTGTGTGTTTGGAAGCTCGTTGGCATTGACAAAGGGTGAGAATACATTTATTTTAGAAGTCGCAGAAACTTGTTTTCAGCTGTTTCCAAACATAGCTTAAATCTGTTTGCTTTGATACCTTTTCATGCTTCATTCACGTTCAAGTAACGTTGACACTTGACAAGACGCAGCGTGTTTAAAATTTAGTCTGGTGGGCAATGCATGGCATTGAGGTTAAAATTTAGGGATGTAGCGTGATTAATGGCACCTCAATGCCTCTTTGCCATGCGACTTAAGGTTGGAAGCTTTCTATGTATTCTCACATATTGTCTTGTGTCTATATATCTTTTCTGCTTTATGAAAGAAAAATTATATGACCAAATTTCAGACCATACACGTTCTATTTATGTCCCTGCCTTGCCAGCTGTTTGTTGGTATAAAATTTTTTATGTGAATTGGGTCTTAATTTATCAAAGTTAGGACATATCAAGTTCAAGGAAGTTGAGATATTTATAAATTGCCTATTAACAATGTTTTCATATTGACATGAAATTTTAACTTACAAATTTATAAATGATGGATTAAATTCTTACTAATTGGACTAATTTTTATTGGTCTTTGACCCTTGCCATGTAATGAACATACTAGTGTTAATATTCAATATTCACAACAACAAATGTTGGCTTAAATGGCAAGGGGTTTGAGTTTCCTTAATCATCAGCTCTTAAGTTCAATCCTTGGGGCGACGGGAATGGAGAAAATATGCTTAGGAGAGTCACCCTCTTTTGAGTTCCCTCCATGCTCGAATTCATATAAATTGGGGCTTTTGACTTTGGATACCGAATGGTTATACCAGAAAAAGAAAAAAATTCAATATCACACTTGCACAAAGTCCAACTGCTCACATTCTAAAAATTTCTAGGGATGCCTAAGACTTGTTATCTAGATAGCAGTGTACTTGGTTACGAATGTCTTGTTACATCACGGTGGTTTTTAGGGCTATAGTTTTGGTGGAATTTTTATGCAAAATTACCATTCAAATTTCCTTATGAAGCTCATTTCTATATGCCGGGTGGGTTTTCATCTCTTTTCAGCACAACAATTAGCATCCTAGGATTATTGGGCCAAACTCTCGTCTGCCTGATAGTAATAGCTTCGTGTTGGGCCAAAGGCCCAAGTTATGGCGAATCGGCTACGTGAGGATTATTGCTGTTTGACTTGAGTATCCAATTTGTCCCAAATAAGTCGGGAATGGCTCATAAGTAATTGTTTCGTGGCATTTTTCAAGACATCAAGCCCTCTCCGAAGACTAACACGTTAATATTTATATGGTCACGTGGCTGATCGCCTGATTCAATGCTTTTTTCAAATCTCTTTCGTTTGTTTGAACGGTATGATGTGTCTCCAATGAAATTCAAAGAGGGTTGAGCTTGCAATAATTCAACTTCATTTTGATGGACCTGTGCAATGTCGTGGACTTGAATTCCTTAAAAAAATTCTTTAGGAAGCATTTTTTGTGCTTAGATCATATTTGCTTAAATTTTGAAGGAGGAAATGCTTCGTAGCGGTTTATGATAAATGAAAAAAAAAAAAGGAAAGAAAAGAAAACTATACATGCATCGTCCGCAAAATATAAAAAAAAAAAGGTCATAGCATATAAATGCATATCTTAATAAAAAGGATTAACATATCTGGTAATTGCCCCTTAGGGACAAGCAAGTTTTGGATGGAATCAACTTTTACAACATTAAATTTCATTGTTTACCAATACTGTGTAACTCTCTAGATTGTTAATTTTAAAATGTATGTATTTTTTATGCAAATTTTCACTAAAATAAGGGTCTAAACATGTATTTGTATTAATTGATGCAATTTCATTGAATATTTTTCTGTAACCGATAAGATTACATTCTTACCTCCTTTTTTCCAGCATCATTTTGTACCCCAAAAATGTCATAAAATATATCATAAATATTATAACATGAGTCATGACAAGAAAATTTATAATTCCTTAACAAAACTTGTATAATTTGTGATAGAAAATACTAACATTCATTCATTTTTAAACCTTAAAATCGAACTCACGTTTGTGTTTGTAAGAAATCTTCTTTTGGCCTTAGAAAACAACACTATTACTTAAATTGAATTTCTTATAGATATTTTTATCCATATTAATTCTTACAATTTTTTAAGAGTAAACCAGTGCGTTCACGGGATTTAGTGTAGTTAAGTATAGGAGAGGAGGTGAGAGAAGAGGTTGATGGGGTGGACTAATAATAATGAACAAGGACAGTAAAAGCGACGCTGAGTTAATAAATTGACTGTAAATAGTATAAAGAGGAAAATATGGGGTGAACGCATAGAAGCCAGCTGGGAAGTCAATTTCCTGCTTGCGTGTTAAAAATGTGTTTTGATATTTTCAGGAATGTTGATAGCATGGAAATGGTTTCGACAGCGACCTTTTCCTAATACCTCAATTCATCAAACTACTATTCATATCTTACATCTTTCCAATTCGTTTTTGGAATACAAGCCCGTAGACAAAGTCATGTATATGTATAGAAATCAAATTAATTCCCACTCCTTTCCTATCATTTTATAAGATATTTTAAAGATGATTTAGTGTCCCACGTTTTGGGGGCGGGGAATAAATTTTTTTAATAATTATTATTCCAATATTATTCATAATTATTTCACTTTTTAAATTTTCTTCCCTCTTTTTCTTATTGATAAAGTTATTTTTTTGAAAATTTATTAAAAAAATAAGATTATGAGTTGTATCTAATAAATTTCATTGACATGTATAATTTTATCAAAAAAATATCTTTAAATTGGGATGAAAAGAGTAATAGTAAGCAAAAGGTCTAACCATGACATATTGTATTATTGGTTGAACATTATTGCGAATTGAAAAACTATTTTTTTTTTTTAATACCGATGAATGTTTAGTTAGCAAGTCATGTCACATTTTAAACATGATATCACATGTTTAAAGAAGAAAAAAAGGGTCAATTGTTTCATATTATTAAATTTTAAAGTGTTAATAGTTTCTCTGAAAATATCGAGGATAAAATAGTCCTTTAACTCAAAAATATTTTCACCTAGGCGTGCCTCAAATCAGTTAAACATGTTTGTCTCTAGAGATAGTGGTCAACGTTACTGTGGGGGTGAGATTGTAACAGTTTCGACACTTGGCATGCCACATTACTTTGTCAAATAGCTTAGAATCACTAGAGCTTCTTGGGAAATGATTCAACAGTGAAAATGCACTCCACTTTAACTTTTTTTTTTTAATTTTCGCTGAGGAAAACAGGTATTCTATAAGAATATTCGTCAATTATATCGCATAAGTAAGAAAATGTGATTATTTATATTTAATTTAAACTTTATTTTCCCCCTCGTTTAGACTTTTTGGTATTTTAAGGGAATAATGAAATTGGCATCTCAACATCGGAAGTTGGTAAGTAGATCTATAACTCTCTCTAGAAGCCCTGTTTCAAGTGTGAAACCTGAGTCCAGTCGAAGTCTGATTCAGGAACATGTGACAACAAAAGCTGAATTGTGCCTTTGAATGTCAAGACGTTTTCTAAATCCTTTTTCCTAGCACGCCATTTTTCTAATATTGCGGCAAATAATAAACAGTTTATCTTCCTTGATTTAAACTCTGACGTCAAATTTCCTGGATAAGAACTAAAGACTCTGAATTCATCAAATGTACAAGTTGAAAAATGTTAGTTCATATTCCTTACATTTTTATTTATGAAAAAAACTATTACTTTTTACTTATTTTTTTTTATATGAGTAAAATTAGTCATTTTAATAAGTATTTTTACACATTTTTTAAATCACCCCTCATACTTTACATTAATAAAAAATAATAAATACATGTTAATATTGATTAACATAAAATATTTTAATTCAATTTTTTTATTTTTAGATAAAATTATTATGATTAATTAATTTTCTTAAACTGTGTGATATAATTTTTTCTTTTTATATATAAAAATAAAGGGAGTAATTGATTTGCCTAGATATAATAATATGATGATGACTCTTTCAAGTTTCAATTTATGTCTTTTTGTAATGTATTATTTCAAAATTAAAAACTCATAGGTGATATCAATTATTACCATTTATGATTAATGGGAAGCAGATTAAAATTATTAGCCAGAATATATTTATTTTTATTTGGATCATCCCAATGCAAGAATCAATATAACATACTTCTTATATCTCAAATTATAAAATATTTTTAAACAAAATTTTACTTATTAATAAACCTTGTTAAACATACTTAAAAATTTATTTTTTTAAAATAAAAATATAAACAGCTAAAAATACCCTTTATCTAATAATCTTAAATTAACACCTAATTAGTATTACATAGAGAGAGAAAGAGAAAAGGTAATATTACAATAAATTTATTTAATAAAATCTTAACCTTTTTAAAGTATCTTATACTTTGGAAAGAAAAATTACTCCCAAAAGTATTTTATAATTTAGAACAAAGGAAGCACTTGAGAAAAAAACTGTATCACATAATTTAAAAAAAATTAATTAGCTATATTAATTGTATATGAAAATAAAAAATTAGACTACAATACCCTTCATTAATTATATTAATTAAACTTTTATTAATTATTTTTTATAATTATAAATGATAAAATTATGAAGGATAATTTAAAAATTTTACAATAAATATTTATTAAAAAATGAGATTTTACTTATGTAAAAAAGCAAGCTAAAAATAATGATTTTTTTGAAAATAAAAATAGAGGAAACATGATGTTAAGATTTGCGTTGAACTCATTTTGGGAAGTTGATAAGGCAAGAGGTGGATGGGTGAGAACAAAATGTGAAAGGAAAGACAAACATGGAAAAGCGATGCAACTTCAAATGTGAACAATGCCTTAATCGCCATCATGGTCAATGATTCAAGCTCTATAAAACCTTTATTTTTTAATCGTTTATTTAAAAAAAATGAAAAGCATCTATTGATGGTAATTGCTCACAAGTCAACAACTGCCCCCGGTGTCCCGGTAGTGGTTTAGAGATATATATATATATATATATATATATATTGTATTATATATCCTCTCATTTGTAGGTAACTTTGAGTTTTGGATCTTAATTAATGTACAAATTTAATTAAAAATCTGAGATTAAAATTATTGATATGAGTGGGTATAGAATCTCCTCTCTTGGGTTTTGGTTGAAAATCTCCTCCTTTGAATAAAGGGGTTCGGTTTTAGAGGAAAATCAAATCGAACCACCAAACTGGCTTATCAATGTCAAGGTTCTATTTGGTTTTTCCTCCAATTGATTTGGGTTGATCAATATTTTTTTTTAGTGGTTTAATTTAGTTTGGATCAATTTAAATTTTTGAGAAATATTTTTCGGCAACAATATATTTATGCATGTTCACTGATAATTATTAATTATTCATTATTATTTTCAATGAAAAATATTTACCTATTAAAATTCAATATGTTGTTTTGAAACACTTGATCATAAAATTTTAAAATTATCTTAAAAAATTATAAACAACACTTAACTAAATGTAGTATATTTTTTACTAGTAATCTACAAATAATTAAAATTGAAAAAGTTAAAAAAAACTGAACTTAGAAAGAAAATAAGCTTAGGCAAATTCATAAATGTATACTCCCTCCGTTCAAAAATATAAAGTATTTTTAATCAAATTTTATCCATAATAAAGTAATTATCTACTTTCTAACTAACCCTATATTTTTATATTTATCTCTATTAAACACCTTATAATAAATATAAAGTTGTTATCAATAGGAACACTTAAAAAAAATAATAATTACACCTTAATAGACTTAAAGTGTTTTATATTTTTTAACATCCAACACTTTAAAAATAAATATAATAAAACTTGATTTGATTTGATTTAAATTTTAATAAACAAATACCTAAATCGAATCAAACTGATTAACTCATGTCAGCTTAGTTCAATGTAATTTGTTTATATCTGTTTTGATACCTTTAACATGTTAGATTACCAACCTTTGCCTATGAAACAAATATACATAGTTAGCGTGTGTGTGATGCATATATTAAAAAAAATATAATCTTTAATCCTTATAATTTTATTAAATTTTATTTTTAATTTTTAATTATTTTAGTATTTTTAATTCTTATAAAAATTAAAAATATTAAAAAATTAAAATTATAAAAACATAAAAAATAAATATCACTCAATTTTTTTAAAAATTATAAAGATTAAAATATTTAAAAAACAATTATAGGTATTAAAACATTGGGAAAAGTCAATAAGACTTTGGAGCAAGTAGCAACGATTTCCAGAGTCCAGAGCTATTAGTCTAAGATGTTGTCTATTTGGTAACATGTGGAGACCATTGTTGCAGAAATTCAATGCAAGGTAAGTCTGAAGAAGTTGCCTTCCTTGATCAAATATCTGTTGCCTATATTTGCAATCAGTACAAAACCAGGCGGTGAACAAATTAAAGCCCGTGAACATTTTAATATATAACATATATTTCAAGGGTCAGACTCTTAATTGGGATTTAATAAATTAAGTTTCTTGTTTAGTTATAATTATACTGGCAAACCCCTTAGACTTTTGCATTTTCAAGGTCATGTCACAACAAAACAACTTCTCGCAATTTCATCATCTTTTTCCTTCAACCCCTTCACACCCGCGCGTTTCACAGTTCACAATAATCATTCACACCCCCGTCTTCCGAGGAACCACCACATTCAACGCTTTTGTTAATTCTTTTTAATATAAAAAAACCACCTTAATCTTTGTTTGCTTTTGCATTTCGTCTGAACACAAAACTTATCTTTCAATTCTATCATAATATTAAATTCGCTTTTTTTATTATTCATTTTTAACGTCTTTTATTGATGCTTAGAAAATTTTCCAAATTCATCAATTTTGTGTAACAATTTAATAAATTAATAATTTTGTTCCTTGAGAATTTAATATGGATAAAAAAAATTTATAATAAAGATTTAATATCATAATTTATGAATAGTTATTCTCTCTTATAAATAAGACGAGACTATAAATCAACTAAATTGTGTTTATCTATCTTAAATCAAAAATTTTTTATCAACAAAATAATCAAACATTTTTTTTAAATAAACTTCATAACAAAAACAGGTCGATTCAAATCACCAGTATAAACAAAGTCAAGATTCAAACACGTATACGTGTCGTCATAGGTAAATTGCACTCCTAATGAACTTGTCTCCTTCTTTAAGCGCGCAAAAACATAGCGAAGAAGCACATATCCACCACGATACGCCTTTCTCACGTCCCTGCATCGCTCGCTCTCTCTCTCTCTCTCTCTCTCTCTCTCTCTGAGTGCCTCTGTATCACTGTTCTGAAGAACATCATGAGTAGTCCCCAGGACGCCGCCACTCCTTTCGACTTTCCGGTGGCAAATCTCCCCAGAAGACCCGACTCCGAGGACGCCAGGTTGAACAGCAATATCTTGCTCATAGCTATTATCTCCTTGTCAATCGTCTTAGCCCTCGTCTTCGCCCTTCATCTCTACGCCAGGTACGTCCTCCGCCGCCAAGCCCGCCGTCGCGCCGCCATACACCATCTCAGCCTCGCCGTCGCCAGATACTCCACAGGCGATCCGCCAAACAACACCGGGCTCGACCCCACCGTCATTGCCTCTCTCCCCACCTTCGTCTTCAAACGAAGCAAAGACAAGTCTCGGAACGAAAACAGCGACGATGGCGGCGACCGCTGTGGAGATTCCTCTGTGATGGAATGCTCTGTTTGTCTAAGCAATCTGGAAGATGGAGAAGAGGCGAGGCTGCTTCCAAATTGCAGGCACGTGTTCCACGTGGCCTGTATTGACAGGTGGCTGTCGTCTCATTCGACGTGCCCGATTTGTCGAACGATGGCTCGGCCGGTGCTTGAGCCCCGGCCACGTGAGGGTCCAGTCGGCCGGGCCAGGCCTGCCGCTAATGACTTACCGATGGCTCCGCCTGCGGACCCTGCTGCAGAAGGTACGTCAGACGGCAGTGGAGCTAAAAACAGCGGTTCGATTTCAAGGTTGAGCTCCTTCAGAAGAATACTTAGTAGAGAAAGATCTTCCAGAAGAATCCAACCTTCTTCTTCTTCATCTACCATCGATGATAATATTGATCGTGATTTGGAGAGACAGTGATTCATCCTGAGTTCATTTTTTTTTTTGCCATTTTCTTAATTGATTTTGTGGTTATACATTTTTTTTTGGGGCAAAAAAAAAAAAAAAAGGATTTGGGACATATTGGGGAGGTGTATCGTCTGGCCAATCTTTCGTAAATTTAATTAATTTAGCAGTAAAGAGGGTATTGTATAAAAGAAGAAAAGTGAGAGGCAGAATGTGTTTCAACTTTCAATTTTGTAATACATCTCATTGTCCAAAAATACAAGAGAAATTATGTTTTGGCACTTAACTACACAACAATTGATGTAATGTAACCGACATATTTCGCTACATTATTACATTTTTTTTTTGGTTTGATGAAAATTATAATTAGAAAATCTTAAATAAAAAAAAGCAGAAGTTAATAATTCTTTTTTTTTTTGGTAATAGTAAGAAGTCAAACTTTTAAAAATTTAAAACTTAAAAAAAAATTAGGTTTTAAATTGTAGTTTTAACTTTTAAGTGACTTCGATAATATTTGCTTCTTTAAGAAATTTTGGCAGCGAAATTCTAAAGTCTCGTAGCAATTTCTAATTTTTAGAGTAATTACAGTTCAGAAAAAGTTTTTAACATAATTCTCTGTCAGGTTAAAGTGGTTAAATTTATTGGCAAAAAATAGTTAAAACATAATGTTCCTAATATTGAGGGTAGATTGGAGCGCAACTGTCTTTTTTTGGCCTGAAGAGATTCATTCATTTGAAAAGGAAAATAACTGTAAGAGGCCAACGCCCGATGGTTCACAAAACCAAAACAAATAAAGGCAGACAAATAACAAAAAGCATTAAATGAAACAAAAGTTGAAATATAAGCCATCGGCCAACCCCTGGATGCTCTGCACCCACTATCAATAAGCCATCACAGTTCTGTTGCACACCCAGGTCCTCGAGAAGAAGAAGAGCTAGAGGAGGTGGTGGTGGTAAAGTCACCCAACTCGAAGGTCCCAACTCCTTTAAAGCAAAACCTGCCAACCAGTCTGCAGCTCTCAATTCCCTCTATGAGAGATGAGATAAAAGGAAAGATTATCAAAGGATTCAGTTATGTCCAGTATGTCACTTAAGAGAGTTCGATATTGCCAATCACACAACATTAACGACATGTTAGAGCAGCATTTAAACAGAACACTACAATCCGTTTCTAAAATAATCCCTGCACCGGCCCAAGACTCAGCTATTTGTAATGCCCTTCGTGCAGCATATAGTTCAGATAAAAAACCTGAGTCTACCACCATCGTTGTAGTCCATCCAACTAGCATAAACCCATTAGCATTACGTACCACCACACCAATTGCTGCACTATCATCCGAAGACCGATGGGCCCCATCAAAATTAATTTTCACATTTCCAAAAAGGGGTTTTAACCAAAGAGAATCATCAGTCTTAATATCCACACTAGAAGCAAAACTGAGTGGTAATAGTCCCTTAGCAGTCTAGAAATTCTGTAACTTAACGTTTCAGATCATAGTAACTCACCTTGGATTTGGTTAATTTCAAAATAATCCAACAGCACCAAACTATATTGGCCTTTACATAAATATCAAATGGAGACTCCCCACATAACAAATTAGACAATCATTCTTTGATACTATGAATAGGTAAAGAATCAATATTTAAACCAAGCAGGCATCCAAACCACGCATGTTTGACCCAATCACAATAAAGAAAAAGGTGTTCAATCGTCTCAGGAGCCTTACCACATATAGAACAAAGAGGGTCTTTTTTGCAATGCCGTTTGAACAAAGTCTCATTAGTAGCTAAGGTTGAGTTTAGCAAGCACCACAGGAATTGTTTCACTTTTGGAGAAACCTCCAATTTCCAAAGAGTTTTCCAGATCCTCATATCTTGAGTCTCAGAACAAGACAGGGTTTTTCTCTTCCATTCTAAACGGCACCCATTCTTAACCACATAAGTACCAGATTTTGCAGCAGCCCATATCAGCTTGTTAGGTCTTAAAGAAGCTGAGATTGGCATATTTGCAATAAGTTGAAGCATAATCGCCTCTATCTGTCCCTGGATTAATCTTAAATCTCATCTTCCTTCTGAGATAAGAGATGATACTCCCAATTCTTCATCAATATCCACATCTACCTGTCGAGAGAGCTTATAATTCGAGGCCCCGACGATCCAAGGATCTTTCCAAACCTCGGTATAGTTACCATTAACCACTTGCCAACCCAAATCTTTCTCCAACATCTTCCTACCAACCAAAATACTACCCCAAATCCACGTTACTTTGGGCCCTTTTACAGCATTAAGAAAAGAACAATGTGGGAAATAGATACTTTTCGGCACTCTTACCCATAACTATCTGGTTGTTGAAGGATTATCCAAGCTCTTTTCGCCAGTTGAAAGCACATTAAAGCCCATAACGTCCTTAAATTCCAAGCCTCCTCCATTTTAGGGGATATTTAGAAAATCCCTAGACTTCCAATGTATACCCCCATTTCCAGAGCGCAACTGTCGGGCTGATATAATCTTGCAATAAACATTATTGCTGAAGAGGAAAAGGGAAAATCATTTGAAACCACTTAAATTAGGCAAAATTTATCATAAAAAAAATTTAAAAATTTAATTTATAATACAAATAAAGTCATTGCAAAATTTTAAGTATTTACAACAACAACAACATTATTTTAAAAATAAATATTACGTTTTTTTTTAATATGACTTCAAATTCGCCAAAAATAATATAACCTTAAATAAGTTTGATGAAATTTTAGTTGAATTTAATTTTGAATTTTTAAAATTCTACGAGAAAAGTTGATATTTAAGTCTGCAAGTGCAGTTTTCCCTGAGAAGAAAAAGGGACGAGGGATGATGCCATGATTTTGGGATTGAAGTAAAGCGGATGATGTAAGTTAAGGAGTATTGAAATTACTTACCCTGATGAATGAAGATATCGTTGTGATTCGCTGTGTGTTCGTTAACTAAAATTCAAACAATTGTTACCGCTTGTGAGATCAAATAAATATGGAGATTAGGTGGCAGACTATGTGAGGACTAGCTACCCTTAGGGCTGGTAATATGGCGAGCTCAACCCGCCGACACGCCAGAAACAAAAACTGTGGGTTGGCTTTTAAAAATGGGCTCATTTCTATGCGAGACGATTTTGACCCAATCCTTATAGCTTAAATTCACAACAGGCTAACCTGTAGATTGGCCCATAATTTTTTTTAAAAAAACAGAAATCACATGATCATTCTCTCAATTTTAAAACCCTAATTATTATTCAAATTATTAAAATAATTCAAATTGCATGCTTATTACCTGCTGTTGTTATTGCTTGTCACATTTAATTAGGTGAGATAGATACTATAAATTCATGACTAGTTAAGTGTATTAGTGTAGCATGCATCCAACTAAAGATTTTTTTACAATTTAATTTGAGTAAAATAATTTTAGGTAGGCACAAGCAATATAGCCATTGATTTTTTTTTTTAAGTTACGTGGGTTTCAAACTCTTAATTGTTGCGCTACCATTTGAAGTAGTGCCGTCTAGAGTGGTATGTAAATTATTTTGAGTCATTTAAAATAATCTATATATCAACCTTCAAATTCTTTTCAATATTTTTTGAATTATGAGTTATTAGATTGTCAAATTGTAGATAAATCCTAACTTTATTTTTCTTGTATGTCTTTGTTATTACATTTTATTTCAATAAATTCAGAATTTCTTAGCTAGAAGAGGAGGGAAAAAGGTTAGCCTGCTAACCTTTACTCAAATTAATATCAAATTTAATTTTATTTTTTAAACTTCTATATGTTAATTATTTTTCATACTTAATTGTTTGATGCTAATAATTAATGATAGATAAAGTTTCGAATATTATGATGAATTTATAATTTTAAAATTAAAAAAATATAAAAATATTTTTTTAGTGGTGGGTTAGCATCCTGTTGCAAGATGTTAGAAATAAAACCTACATAAGATGCATGTTATATTAACCTACCCACTAAGCTTGCAATCTACTGTGGGTTGTGTGTTAACCCCTATTATTAGCTTTAACTTTCATATTGTAAAATCTAAGCTTCTAATATTGAGTTCTTAAGGACAGGGCATGCTATTCGATCTTGATATGATTTTGCTGTTGAAATGAATGCTCGATGATTAATTAGTTCCGTAGAGTTTGTCCACGAAGATTGCTTTTACTTTTCCTTTTAATATCGGTCACTTTTTAAATCAGATATTAAGCTTTACTAATTTGGATAGGCTTGGGTGAAACTATACATAGCCAATGCATGGGTTAGATTTGTGCACACATTGCATGGTTAGTTACTTCATTGAAAAACAGAATTATTATAAAAAAACAGAATTATTATGTAAAATAATGAAGGGCTTAATGGTGCCTGGGAATTAGTGCTACAAGACTGCAAGTGCAAACGTTATCTTCAACTCCAAGACACATAGGATTTTGTTAAGGTCTTGTCTGATGATTGAAGATTTCGACCAGCTTAAGACATCATAATATTTCTGACATGGCCAAAGAATAAAAAACAATCACTTCGAGTGTCGAGATTTGGTCGAACTCTTGGCTGTATAATGGAAATGGAATTATATAATACAATGTCTTTCAAATACAAATAAAGATATAAAATAAACCGTACGTATAGAATTTATTTTCGATCTCTATTACTCTATATTAAATAACCAAACCCGAAGAAGTGGACTTTTTCTTGAAGTCTAAGTGTGAAACTAACACCTAACTATGTGCAAAGATTTCAATGTCACAAATGCTAGAAAAGCATGAAAGTGAAAGTTTTTCTTACTGTTCTTTGAAAGGGAGAGGACAGCGACTAATAATCTGTGAGTGTAGTAGTGATCCTTTACTTTTCCTCCTTTCCATTGCTCAATAACAGAAAGATAAGCCTAAGAAACAAGGCAATAAAGAGAGCTTCACAAAGTCATCGACGTTTTCATTCTACCAGAGAAGACAGCTCTCACAGTCTCATCAATGGCTGACGCAAATCTCATTTTCTCAGAAATAAGACAACACTGGAGGCAGGATAGTGAAAAAGAATCTCTGTGATGAATTGAGGGCCATAAAGATTCTTAACAATTAACATTCACAATTGCTCAAGTAACAAATATCTTCAGGCCTCTTGATTACAACAAGTGATTAGCTTTGCGTGTCCCATACAAAGTCTTGAAGGAAATCACTCATGAAAGGGAGATCAAGTAACACCATTAAACCGGATGACAGACCAGATTTGCTGAGCAAGTTCAGTCAAGCTGAAGAAGAAGCACAGG